GTATTACACTTGTTTTTGGCTGATGTTCGCCAACCATTCATGCAATTTTATTTATTCATTTTTTTAAATTAATAATCGATTCTTGGCATCAAGAATCGATGCAGTAGTTCACGAAAATTAGAATCACGATGCATCATCATGACGATTATTTGGCACACCCCTACTCTTGATTGAGCCTCAGATACCTGCTGAGTGTTTGTGTCTGGACGCAGATGGCGGCGCTACTGTCTGACCCGCTCCCTGTGTTGCTCTGTCAGGATGCGGACGCCATCTATCAGTGGCTCAGTGAGTTCCAGCTGCAGCAGTACACCGAGAACTTCCTGAACGCCGGATACGACGTTCCGACCGTTAGTAGGATGACTCCCGAGGTGAATGAACTCCTGTAGAACTAACGGCGAGGCTAAAAAGGCCGGACCCGATTAAAACCCGGTACAAATGGCCACCAATGATGTGTTTCCTGTTCAGGATCTGACCGCCATCGGAGTCACCAAACCAGGACACCGCAAGAAGATCTCCATGGAGATCGGCAACCTGAACATCCCGGAGTGGCTGCCGGAGTACATCCCGGTAAGACATGGCGCTTTCAGCAGGCCGTGGATGTTCTGAATGTGTTCTGACCCGGTTTGTCTCCTTGCAGTCGGACCTCGGAGAGTGGCTCAGCGCCATCGGCCTCCCGCAGTACCACAAAAAACTCTCTGAAAATGGCTATGACTCCATCAGCATCGTCAAAGACCTGACATGGGAGGACCTGCAGGAGATCGGGATCACCAAGCTGGGTGAGCGTGGGTCCGACCCTCCCGGTGACGGCCATGTTACCGAGAAACCCGTCTGATGGTTCCCTTCCCGCTGCAGGCCACCAGAAGAAGCTGATGTTGGCTGTGAAGAAGCTGTGCGACATCCACAGGGCCATCCTCAATGCCGAGTCCGGCCCCGGAACGCTTCGGCGTAGAGCGCCCGGGGGCCTCCACCTGGTGACCATCGACTCTCCTGATGCCAGCAGTGAATGTTCTTCTCCTCACACCCCCATGATGGTGACCTTTCAGGACAGCGAGCTCAGCGCAGAGCTTCAGACCGCTATGTCGAGTCACTACGGCGGCTGCGAGGAAGGTTTGGCCATCAAGAGCGCTGTGGGGATGTCCCGCAGCCAGGAGAGCATCGACGCTCGGTCCAGAGGTTCTGGCCGCTCCCAGGAGCCTCCCACCGCCTCCATCAACCCTCACAGCTGGTCCCAGGAGAGCCTTGAAGGAAGCCCAGCCCGGGAGAGGAACCTGCCTGAAGGCTGGGACCCGAGGCCGCTGCAGCACCAGCCGCTGCCCAAACAGGTTCCTCTGGGAACGGCCACAGTCTTCAAGTACCCCGCCATCCCGGCCAAACCCAGACTGCCTGGATCCCGTAATAACTCTCCTCATGGCTCCCCCGCCCTGAAAGGTTTCAACTACCTGCACTCCGAGTGCGGCTCCACCGACCTGAACCGACCCGAACATCTCAGGACCCTGACCCCGCCCCACAGGCGCCCTCAGAGCAAGACCCGCTACGCCCTGTCAGACGGGGAGCCGGACGAGGACGACGATGACCTTGCCGTGCCTCGGGGAAGCGTCCCTTCCTACGCCACTCTGACCCGGAAGCCCGGCCGCAGCCAGCTGGCCCGCTTACAGTCCAACACGGACAAGAACAGCGGCGTGGGCCGCAGTCAGTCGTTTGCCGTGCGAGCTCGTAAAAAAGGTCCGCCCCCTCCGCCGCCGAAGAGACTGAGCTCAGTAAGCAGCACCACCAGCAGCGAGCTGAGCGACAGCAGCCCCACCTCCTCCTCTGGGGGCGTGGTCACCGACAGCCCGGGAAGCGTCCGCAGCATCGCGGCGTCTCTGCAGGGCAGCCCGGGTCACAGCCTGAGAGCGGAGGCCTCAGAGGCCGCAGAGGTGAGGAGGAAAGTTCAGAGCGTTTCCAGTCAAACCAGCAGCAGCGCGGCGGGCGACCCGGGGCTGAAATCTGATTCGGAGGAAGAAGAACCGAAGGATGGTGGACTGGATGGATCTTCGTCACCTCAGAACAGTTCCAGCGAGTGCATTCCCTTCGCTGAGGAGGGCAACCTGACCATCAAACAGAGACCCAAAGCTCCAGGCCCCCCCAGGGCTGAGGCCGTACTGGAACCACCAGACAAACCAGCAGCCAAGACTCTGGAGGTCCCCGAGTTCAACCTGAAAGAGTCCGACACAGTGAAGAGGCGCCACAAACCCAAAGACAAGGAGCAGGGCGAAGGCTCCCCCGTCAGGTCAGGAGCCGAAGCATCGGGGTCGGAGTCTGGGGGCAGCAGACCTCCGTCCAGGAACCAGGACCGGGTGGACCCCAGAACCAGCGAGAGGTCCAGCAGTCCAGCTGCAGGTTCTCCTGTTAAACCTTCTGTCTCAGCAAAACCTGCCGTCACCCCAAAACCTGTTCGTCACAGTCTGCTGGCGTCTCATGGTGAGACTCACACTCAGCTCTCCTGAAACCCTGCTTTCACAGGGGGGGGTTAGAGTAAAGGTTCTGGTTCAGGGGTGGACTAGTCCAGTTCCAGGGGACCGGTATCCTGCAGGAGTTATCTCCTCAGTCGGTTCCTCATCAATCATCTAATGACTGCATCCAGGTGAGGAACCAAAGCCAGATCTAGAAGCTGTAGGGTAGCGGCCCCCCAGGAACTGGACTAGTCCACCCCTGTTCCTCTCTGAAAAGGTTCTGGCTCGGACCCGGGATGTAGGACCTGGACCTGTGGTGGTATTTACCGGGTGACTTGGAGATGGCCTTTGGACTATCTCCTCTGAACTTTAAGTTTCACCGTCCAGCTGAGACCTGACCTGTCCCAGCTGAGACCTGACCTGTCCCAGCTGAGACCTGA